CTCACTCACTCACTCACTCACTCACTCACTCACTCACTCACTCACTCACTCACTCACTCACTCACTCTTTCTCTCGCCCATATCTTGTTTATGAAAGTTACTCTCGCTCTTCCTCTTTCTATCTCTCCCTCTTCCCTGCCTCTCCTGCTCCCTCTCCCTCTCTATCTCCTCCCCACGCTGTCTCAGCGTCTCTCTCTCTCTCTCTCTCTCTCTCTCTCTCTCTCTCTCTCTCTGCCGCTCTCTACGAACCTCGCCTGCTACACAGGTGTCACGATCACATTGCCGACGAGGCTGACTGCGCTCATGGGCACCGTCGCCTCGTCGGTCGCCTCACTCCGCCCGTGCCGCGCGGCGACGGCAGCGGCAGCAGCGGCAGCAGCGGCAGCAGCAGCAGCAGCATCCGCAGCAGCAGAGGCGGGCCTCGCGTCCTCGTAGCCGACTCTGCACTCGTCGTACGGCTGTCCCTCGCAGCAGACGACGCGCGTGTACTCGGCGCGGAAGCGCGGCGACGCGACGGCGTAGATGATCGGGCGCAGGCAGACGGACGCGTAGCCGAGCCAGCCGCTGAAGAAGATGAGCAGCTTTACGGTGCGCAGCGGCATCAGGAGCAGCCAGTCCGGCGAAGCCATCAGCGCGAAGCCGACGAAGTACGACGGAATCCACAGTACGACGTGCAGCGTGACGATGCCGGCGACGGCCGCCGTCACGTCGCCTCCGTCGTCCGCGCGCGCCGCCGCTCCTTCTCCTCCGCCGCCGGCGGGCTTCTTCGCGCCGAGAGCGAGCAGGATGAGCACGAGCGCGGCGAGCGACGGCAGCGCGTACTGCAGCGTGAACGTGGCGGCGGTGTGCGCCAGCGTCGTGGCGGGCTCGCGCGTCAGCCAGCAGATGCCGCGCTGCTGCGGCGCCGCGTAGCGCCACGAGCCGCTCTCCGTGAACGCGAACGGACCGACGCGGCCGCTGCCGTCGGCGTCGTCGTTGTAGCTGAAGTCGCGCACGTTGTACTCTGTGATGCTGAACATGTAGATGCTGGCGGCGCACGCGCCCGCCCACAGCAGCGTCAGGCAGCCCATGTAGCGGCCGCGCACGTCGGCGCCGGCCGGCGGCGGGCAGCGCGCGGCGCGGTAGCGCTCGACACTGATCAGCAGGATGTTGTAGATGGCGACGTACTGGCAGACGGCGCTCACGTAGCTGACGATCTTGCAGACGGCGGCGCCGAACGGCCAGTACTGCAGGCCGGCGTAGACGGCCGTCGTGCCGCAGTCGAGCGTGCAGAAGACGAGGTCGGCGGCGGCGAGGTTGAGGATGAGCGAGGCGGCCGTGCTGCGCAGCGGGCGGCTGTAGGGAATCATCCAGACGAGCAGCAGGTTGCCGATCGTGCCGACGGTCGCCAGCATACCGAACATGATCGACGTCGTCACCGTGCTCACCATCATTCACTGATGATCACTGACGGTCCCTGTTGATCACTGGTATAGTCACTGTCTATCACCGGCGGTCACTGTTGATCACTGATGGTCACTGTTGATCACTGACGGTGACTGATGATCACTGACGGTCACTGTTGATCACTGGTGGTCACTGTTGATCATTGACGGTCCCTGTTGATCACTGAAGGCCCCTGTTGATCACTGATGGTCGCTGTTGATCACTGGTCACCGGCCGCGGTGGTGCGGCGATGCCCTGCTGGTGTCACCGCTGCTGCGGAAAGATGATGATGCTGTTCATGGTGTCACCGTTGCTGCTGAAAGATGATGATACTGTTGTTGGTGTCGCTGCCGCTGGCGACGCTGCTGCTGCTACTGCCGCTGCGGCTCGTAATGATAGCGATGGTGGTGATGCTGCTGCTGCTGCTGCTGCTATAGCGGTGGTAGTGATACTGTTGTTGATGCTGCTGATAGTCGTGATAGCGGTTCTGGTGCTGCTGTTGCTGTTGCTGCTGCTCGTGATAGCGATGGTGGTGACGCTGCTGGTCGTGATTGCCGTAGTGGTGATGCTGCTGCTGCTGCTGCTGCTGCTGGTGGTAGTGATAGCGATGGTGGTGATGCTGCTGCTGTCGCTGCTGCTGGTCGTGATAGCGATGGTGGTGATGATACTGCTGCTGCTGGTGGTAGTGATAGCGGTGGCGGTGGTGGTGGTGCTGCTGCTGCTGCTGCAGGTATTGATAGCGGCGGTGGTGATGCTGCTGCTGCTGCTAGCACATCACGCGGGGCTCCGCACGTGGACGTCACTGCGCGAGGCTAGCATCCTTCACGACGCGGTCACGGTTAACCGAGTTATATTGTTGTCTGTATTGTAGAAAAGGCCGACAATCGACTCGGAATGACAGCTTTTATTGTGCACGCGTGCGCGCCTCTGTGTTAGATTCTACGTTTTGTTTATGCGCGGCTGCGTGTGCGCACGTACGTACGTGCGTGCGTGCGCGCCTGTGTAAACGTCCATCCAGACTACGGCGTACTTATGGGTAGCTTGGTTTACTCGTGGCATTCCTGTCAGGGTCTGTTCTTGCGACACACAATAAATCACTATTCGCAGCACTAATTATAACGAGCTATAATATGTTACAAGGTTACCTGCCACACGTATACGTCACTCTTCCGCAGCCGCTTACGGGACTGGTCGCAGACTGCGTGTAGTGTCGTTGTGATTTGTGGTGGTAGGACCGGATGAGCGCACCGACGTTACCTAATTGGTGACCCTGGGAGGATGCTCAGCTTCCTAGCTATGATTACTGCTCGCGGCGACCCAGGCGTGTGAAGCCGCTGGCATCGGCGCAGCGTCATATATATATATTCTATATTCTATTTATTATTAAGTTATTATGATTCACGGGCGATTTTCCGCCGTGAAGTCCTTCGGGTGACACGCTTATTGATTGATCCCCGGCCGCAGGCTAGCGGCGGCTTGGCTCTCCGTCACGTGGCGTGCACACGCAGCGAGGCTCGAATCTAGATCTCTTCTCCTCCTGTTCGTCGCATGACGTGTTTACACTCGCATGCCACAGTCTTCTCTATCTACTCTTCTCTTCTCTCTTTCGGTTCTGGTCGCGACGGCGCAAACAGGGTTCGCGCGACACGGCTAGCCTGGCATGCAAGGATGGGCGTGATCTGAATGAAAAGGATGGTCGCGTCTGCCACGGCTTGGTTGAGCGCGACGTGAGATATGATTTCATAAACTTCTCACTCGTCGTCGTCGTCTTCTTCATCATCGTCCATCTTATCTATGCTCGCTCATCTTATTAAACGCCTATAGTTATTCTTTCATCGGCTTATCATCGTTCTCTTTCATCACATCGTCATCTTCATTCATCATCGTTCTGTCATTCGATCTCATATCATCGTCATTTCATCGTGGTTCGTCGTTGTCATTATCGATGCTGCGTGCACACACGTGGGAGAAGCCGAGCGAAAGAGGAGAGGAGAGAGAGAGATGAGTAGAGACGAGAGAGAGAGGAGAGAGGACAGGAGAGAGGAGGAGAGAGAGGGAGAGGGAGAGCCGAGGAGAGAGCGAGAGGGAGAGAGATGAGAGAAGAGAGAGGGAGAGGAGAGGAGAGAGAGGAGCGGTGAGATAGGGGCGGGACGGGGCGGAGACGGGGACGGAGACGGGACGGAGAGGAGACGAGAGGAGAGGGGGGGAGATGGGGAGGGGCAGACACGCGGCCCGTGGGTGGGGGGGGGTCGGGCGGCGGCGGGGGCGCGGGCGGGGCCGCGGGCGCGGGGGGCGCGGCGGGGCGGGCGCGGCGGCCGCTGGCGGCCCGGGGCGGGGGACGGGCCGGGGCGTGCTAGCTAGTTGGACTGTATAGAGTTACGGCGATATTCGCGTGTTTCGCCGTGGTCTACCGATATCACGTCGCTCCGTCACAGCGTGTCATCCGTGCAGAAAGGTCATCAGGTCGCGAGTCGTCGAACGTGTCTTCACGGTGCAGTTAATGACGAGAGAGAGCGTAGGCAGTAGTGCGTGTGAGAGAGGAGAGGAACGTTACCTATTATTTCACTGTTATTTCAAGGCTGAGAGAATGTTAAGGGACCTAACGACTCAAGTAATTATTTTCTATGGCTGTA